TAAACAATATGTTGGCAGATACATTTTCCATTAAATAAAACTCTGTATCTATCTTTTTAAAACCCTGTGATGCATCCCCCTGTCTTACCCACACTTTTTTATTGTGGCAAAACACATAACATTTATTAGTTATCCATTTTTAAATGTACAGTTCAATAGTATTAAACATATCACATTGTTTTGACACAGATTTCCAGATCCTTTCTACCTTTAAAATCTGATACTCTCATTAAACAACAACTCTCACTTTTTCTGTCCAGCCCCCTAGCAACCACAATTCTAAATTGTTTCTATGAATTTGACTAAGTAGATACCTCATATAAGTGGAATCATTCAGTATTTGTCTATTTGTTACTGATTTATTTCATTTAGCATGTCCTCCGTGTTCATCCGTGTTATATCATGTGATAGGATTTCCTTCCTTTTTAAAATATAATAATATTCCATTGTAAAGGTATGTATATACACCATTTTGTTTAACCAGTCATGCAGTGATGACATTTAGTTTCCTCCAACTCTTGGCCACTGTGAACTATGCTGCAGTGAACATAGGTGGGTAAATGATTCTTTGGGATCCTGTTTTCAGTTATTTTGGGTATGTACCTAGAAGTGGGATTTCTAGATCTTGTAGTTCTATTTTTATTTTTTGGAAGAACTGTTTTCTATAGTGGTTGAAACATTTTTCAATTCCACCAACAGTGCAAAAGGGTTCCCAATACTTCTTACTTTCTGAGTGTTATTTTTTTCCTGTAGTATTCATTCTAATGGGTGTGAGGCGATGGCTTACTGCAGATTTTAGTTGCATTTCACTGATGACTAGTGATTTTGAGCATCTTTTTATGTACTTGGGCATTTGTATATCATCTTTAGAGAAACAACTATTCAATTCCTTTGCCCATTTTTAAATTTTGTTATTGCTATTTTTATTGTTGAGTTGTGAGAGTTTTTTATATATTTGGATACTAACCCCTTATCAGATATATGGTTTACAAATATTTTCTCCCATTCTATAGGTTGCCTTTTTACTCTGTTGACTGTGTTCTTTAATGTACAAAAGTTTTTTTAGTTAGTCCCATTTGTCTATTTATGCTTATTGCCTTTGCTTTTGGTGTCTTATCCAAGAAATCATTACTAAGTCCAATGTCATGAAATATCTATTTTTTTCATTGGTGAGTTTTATCGTCTTATGCCACATAATCTCACCTAGAAGGATGAATACATAATGCGGTTATTGAGAGACACTGGCAAACTGTTTCCTTGAATGGCTGTGCTAGTTTACATACCCACTATGAGGGTGAGGGATCCAGTTTCTCCACATCATCACCAGTATTTGGTAATATCACTAATGTAATTTATTTTTTTAATCCTCACCTGAGGATATTTTTTCATTGCTTTTAGATAATATGGAAGGGCGGGGATGGGGAGAGAAACATGGATGTGACACTACTACAGCATCATTTGTTGAAAAGACTATCCTCATTGACTTGCTTTTACACTTGTGTCACAAACGAGTTGGCTGTATTTATGTAGAGCTAATTCTAAGTTCTTTATTCTGTATCATTAATCTAAATGTCTATTCTTCTACCAATGCCAGGAACAGAAAGTATTAAAGAGATAATTGACAAAACATATTCATTTCCTTCAAAAATAAGTGAATGGATCATTTATAAAGTTGGTTTTTATTACTCCTAATCTTTTTCATTACATGCTATATTATTTTGTATTTGTTTATTTTTATCTGCAAAAGTTTTGTAGAATTCATAGGTAGATGTGGGAGAGATACATCTTAAATTTAACTATATTTTTCCAATATTATAACACTTATTATCTTTGTCATTCAAATGAGTATGAGATCATATCTTTAATTTTTTCTATACATTAGTGAGACTGCTTCTATTGTTAGGTTTGAAAATGTGACTTTCTTCTGTGTGTATATTGATTTGTGTTGAGCAAGATTCTGGACTATCAGTTCTAATAGCTGAGTCATAGAAGGTGTTGTTTTTTACATATGTCTAACACAGTATTTACAATGTTAACTAATTATTTTCCTCCTTCTACCCTTCTGGCCCTTATTTCTTTTACTTTTCCCCCTATGTTGACTAAAACCTACATGCTGAGGTAAGATAGAAGCCTTCCTTTCTAAATTTGAAGCAGAATTTAAAGAAGTGTCATACATTCATAGGTGTTCTAAAATAAGCCATTCTTTCATACCATGAACGAATTGCACACTCCTGGGTTCATTTAGCTAATATTCCTGTAGACTACTTGTATGTGTAATTATAAATGAGATTGATCTGTAACTCCCTTTTTATAGTGATGTCCTCACTTGGTTTTGAAAGCAAGTTTATCCTAATCTCCAAAATGAGTTGAGATCATTTTCATCTTAGTGCCCTAGTAATGAAGTTCAATAAGTTTTGACTAGACCTATTCAAAAGTATGTTTTCTATACTTCGTTATATTTAGTGACTGTCTTATAGATTGACAGCAGCACATATACAAAGATAGCTTATCCACTAATAATTAGACAAAACAAGTTTCAGTACCCGATACATCAATGTTTAGACCATTTAAAATCAAAGAATGGGGAATTATTTAACATGGAAATCTATTAAAGATCAATCTTTTATCATGTATGGATTTGAAATGTAACAGCCTTAGCTTCTGATTTTCCAAACCATAAGGGGATTAATTTATGAACTACTCTCTACGCTCCTTTTTGACAGCCTGAGTGGGTTGCTCAATGACTCATGCGTTATCACTGCACACTTCATAAACAGTACTTCAGAGTTAAAAACTAGAGGACTGTTGTGTTTATAATTCCAGGTGCACAGGAGATTTGATTGTAAAAGCTGAAACAATAGGACTACCACCACTCATTTTCAGTGACTTGGAATACAGATAGGTTTTCAGTAATGATGTCTAAGACAAAAACTCAAAGAGAAAGATAAATTTGGCTACAATCAACTTTGAAATTGTCTACTGTAAAATCATCCTCCATGTTTGACTGTGTGCTACTCAGTACATGACACTGCAGTGTCATTAGTTTGACCTCTTTAGGATTTTCAGTGGTTCCAAAGATTCCCTTGGCACCTGCTGTCAACCCAGGGAAGTCATGGAAGTCCAAGTGTCTTGAGAATCCAAGTCAGTGAATCAAACTTGGTGCAATTTTCTAAACAGATTTTAAATTAGAAGATGTTTCCCATCCATTATTAATGAATTCTCACAATCTGCTTGTGGCAGTGATCATGGATTTTATCAAAGAAACATACATGGAGAAATTTGTTATCATTTCAGAATCGCTGTTGTCTCTTTGTGTTTAGGTCATTGGAAAGGGATAGTTTATTGGTGGTTATCTGGTACTCCTAACATCACTCTTACAAATACTTATTAAGAGTTTTATGAAAACATATGATGGTAAAATGTTGTCAAATGCTAAAAAGCAACCAAAACGAAATTCTGCAATGCTTAGTCTCTCCCCTCTCCCATATATATATATATTAAATACATGACTGTAGAGAACCTCTGTCTTTTATTTTTTTGAGCCTTTTTGGACTATTTATGACTGTCATAAAATCTCTTTGATCTTAGACAAGTCACAGCCTCTCTCAACTTAGTTAACTTGCAACATAAGGATGGTCTTACCTGTTGGCTGTGAGAATAACACTTTGCAAAGCATCAAGTGAAACAGAAGTGGAAATAGCATCACAACTTGCTGCTTTCAAAGGAGTAGAGCACTTTTCCAAAGATGAGGTAGCACTATCCTAACTGTGTATTTCCAGATATGGCATATGATGAACCACATCTTTATGCATGCCTAGTTACTTTTACTTGCTTGAAATTTACGTCATAGATATGTCAAGAGAAGAACATATAAACACATATCTGAACCTGTATTTGTGAACCAGATTCTAGAACTTCCAGTGCTTTAACATTAATTTTCTGCCAATAGTAAAATTTTAACCAAGTGGTAAATATATGAGTTAGTACAATTCCATTACAGGTGTTTTGGGTGGAGTTTATAGGAAATAGCATCTGGAAAGAAGGTGAATATTTTCATTAACAGGACAGAGAACTCAGTTTGTTAATCAAAATATGAATAAGAAAAAGTATATAACAGCACCAATTATATTCATGATTTTGAGTTGCCAAGAGCAAAATCTCCATTCCATTGCTCCAAAGTATACTTAACCATTGTTAGGTTTCTTAGAAATGAATGTTTACCAATCACTAGGAAATGTGTTTATCAATAAATTGGTGAAAAATGATCATTGTGTCATATAAACAATGATAGCATACCTATGTTCTATATAAACAATTTATAGCTTACATATAGTCTATTACATTAGAGTAGCAGGGTCATCAGGATATGCAAAACCAATTTCATTAGGTTGTGCTGAAAGACTTAGAATGGCTTTCTGCCAAAATGTATCACATAAAGTTTAATCAGCATATTTGGTTAGATGAAGGATCATAATGCAGTGGTAATACTTTCAGGGCTTTGGTGTAGCTTTACAGAAATAAGAAAACACGGATTGTTAAGTATTAAATAAAACCACACCTCTATATCTAATTCTTTTAAAAATTTTATTTTATTATCATGCAATCTTTGTTTCTTTTTATTGAATTTATTGGGATAACACTGGTTAACAAAATTACATAGGTTTCAGGTGCACAATTCCACAGCACATCATATGTACACTGTATTGTGTATTCACCACCCTAAGTCAAGCATGTATCCATCATCCTTTATCCCTCCTATATCCTCCTCCACCTCCTCCACACCCTCTCTGCTAGGCAATCACCATGCCATCTTAACTAAGATATTAACTCTAAAAGAAGAGGGGAAAAAATATATTAACTCTTTGCTTTTCTTCCAGAGGAATGAATGAGTTTCTGACTTGTGTGATGGTAACAGGAAATCAAATATGTTCTGTAATGCTACTATATTTGTTGTAATAATGGGTCTAGACTTTCCCATTTCATTTCTTTCAGGTTGCTTTCAGCTATGTAATGTTTTCCGATCCCATGAAATGGAAATTGACCAGTGCTTGCTGGAGACCCTTCCCCTTGGCCAAAGGCAGCGGCTGGTGAAACGCATGCGCTGTGAACAAATCAAAGCCTACTATGAAAGAGAGAAGGCTTTTCAGAAGCAGGAAGGAGTCCTGAAAAAACTGAAGCATGGCAAGAACCAGAAAGTGCATTTTAACCTTGCTGACATGATTCAGGATGCAATTATCCACCATGATGACAAAGAAGGTACATGACATAAAAATGTTTTCTGATATGGTTTTCCTGTTGTTTGTTAGTTTGATGTTTTTTTGGGGGGAGATGAAGGGTAGAATTTCTTTTAAATAATAGGGGCTTTCTTTTAACTGAGATATTCAAGAAAAAAATGATCTCGTCTATGAACATAAACATTCCAAGTCTCCTAATAAACATTTCAAAAATGAAAAATTTTGGTAAAATTGTGGTATATGTTTTTAAAGAATTACCTACCTAAAAAGCAATGATTTCCTTGCAAATTGCTCATTCCAATTGTTAATTAAACTTTTAAAAATGAAATTGTTTCCTTTAAAGATGAGATTGTTCAGTAAAATGTATTATTATCTCATTCATGAATAGACATAGTCATATAGTCAGTTCCTCCCAGACACTCAGGATATTGGAGTCTATTGGTTTATCCCTTAAAATTGACTGGCTTGTAGTATCAAATGTTATTAAGAATGTTAATCCAAGTTTCCATTGTTTTTATAAAACTATTAAGCTTCTTATCTTTCATGTGTTTTTGTTTATTAATTTTTTTGTTTTTAGAATATAATTTCCAAAGTTCTTTTTTTTTTTTTAAATTAGTGTTTTTATTTTTGCTGTATAAATACCCTGAAGTGAGATTGCTGGACCATATGGCAGTGCTATTTTTAATTTTTTTCAAGAGAATTGATCTTAAATATAATAATATTACATGTAATAAACATTAATATTTCAAGAGAAAAAGGATTTTAAGTATAATAGTGCCAAAACTGTACTAACATAGTATGATATCAGAAAAGTTGTAGGAAATATTAAAACTCTGCAAATAACAGGATTACTTCTATTATATATTCTAAAATATTTTTTTCCTCTGACTCTATTTTTGTTCATCAGTTTATATTGTTCATTATGTTCCACAAATGAGTGAGATCACGTGATATTTATCTTTCTCTGACTGGCTTATTTCACTTAGCATGATGCTCTCCAGTTCCATCCATGCTGTTGCAAATGGTAGGAGTTCCTTCCTTTTTACAGCAGCGTAGTATTCCATTGTGTAGATGTATCACAGTTTTCTAATCCACTCATCTGCTGATGGGCACTTAGGCTGTTTCCAAATTCTTAGCTGTTGTAAATTGTGTAGCTATGAACATAGGGGTGCATATATCCTTTTTGATTGGTGTTTATGATTTCTTGGGATATATTTCTAGGAGTGGGATTATTGGGTCAAATGGGAGTTCCATTTTTAATATTTTGAGGAAACTCCATACTGTTCTCCACAGTGGCTGCACCAGTCTGCATTCCTACCAGCAGTGCACAGGGGTTCCTTTTTCTCTGCATCCTCCCCAGCACCTGTTGTTTGTAGATTTGTTGATAGCCATTCTGACAGGTGTAAGATGGTACCTCATTGCTGTTTTGATTTGCATCTCTCGGATGGTTAGTGACTTTGAGCAAGTTTTCATAAGTCTCTCGGCCTCGTTTATGTCCTCTTTCGAAAAGTATCTATTTAGGTCCTTTGCCCATTTTTTGATTGGGTTTTTTATCTTCCTTTTGTTAAATTGTGTGAGTTCCCTGCAAATTTGGGAGATTAAACCCTAATTGAATATAACATTGGCAAATCTGTTCTCCCATGCAGTGGGCTTTCTTATTGTTTTGTTGATGGTTTCTTTTGCTGTGCAGAAGCTTTTTATTTTAATTTAGTCCAATTTGTTTATTTTCCCTTTAGTTTCCCTTGCTCTAGGAGCTGTACTGGTGAAGATATTTCTATGACATATGTCTGATATTTTGCTGCCTATGGATTCTTCTAAGATTTTTATGGTTTTCTATCTTATGTTTAGTTCCTTTATCCATTTTGAGTTTATTTTTGTGTATGGTGTGAGTTGGTGATCTAGTTTCTTTTTTTTTTGCATGCATCTTTCCAGTTTTCCCAACACCATTTATTGAAGAGACTATCTTTTCTCCATTATATGCTCTTGCCTCCTTTGTCAAATATTAATTGAGCATAATGGGTTGGGTAGATTTCTGGGTTCTCTGTTCTGTTCCATTGGTCTATATGTCTGTTCTTATGCCAGTACCAGGCAATTTTGAGAACAGTGGCTTTGTAATATAGGTTGATATCTGGTATTGTGATCCCTCCAACTTTGTTCTTTCTTAGGATTGCTGCACTTATTCAGGGTCTTTTTTCATTCCAGATGAATTTTTGGAGAGTTTGTTCTAGGTCTGTGAAATATTCGATTGGTATCTTAATGGGGATTGTATTGAATCTATAGATTGCTTTGGGTAGTATGGACATGTAATGATGTTGATTCTACTAATCCGTGAACATGGTATGTTCTTCCATCTGTTTCTGTCTTCCTCTATCTCTTTTTTCAATGTCCTGTAGTTTTCCAAGTATAAGTGTTTTACCTCCTTAGTTAAGTTTATTCCTAGGTATCTTAATTTTTTTAGTGCAATGGTAAATGGGATTGTTTTTTTAGTTTCTCTTTCTGTGAGTTCATTTTTTGGTGTATAAAAAAGCCATATATTTCTGAGTGTTAATTTTGTATCCTGCTACATTATCGAATTCATTCATTAGTCTAGTAATTTTTTGGTGAAGTCTTTGTGGTTTTCTATGTACAGTATCATGTCATCTGCGAATAATGACAGTTTTACTTCTTCTTTTTCAGTTTGGACACCTTTTATTTCTTCTTTTCTGATAGCTATGGATAGCACTTCCATTACTATGTTGAACAGGAGTGGTGAACGTGGGCATCCCTGTCTTGTTCTGTTCTTAGGGGAAATGAGTTTAGTTTTTGCCCATTGAGTATGATGTTGGCTGTAGGTTTGTCATATATGGCCTTTATCATGTTGAGATATGCTCCCTGTATTCCAATTTTGCTAAGAGTTTTTATCAAAAATGGGTGTTGGATTTTGTCCAATGCTTTGTCTGCATCTATTGATATGATCATGTGATTTTTGTCTTTCAATTTGTTTATGTGATGTATCGCCTTTATTGATTTGTGAATATTGTATCAGCCTTGCATCCCTAGAATAAATCATACTTGATCATGGTGTGTGAACTTTTTAATATATTGCTGGATGAGATTTGCTAATATTTTGTTGAGGATTTTAGCATCTATGTTCATCAGGGATATTGGCCTGTAATTCTCTTTCTTTGTAGTGTCTTTATCTGGTTTTGGAATTAGGATAATGCTGGCCCCATAAAAAGAGTTTGGCAGTGTTTCTTCCTCTTGAATTTTCTGAAATAGTTTGAGGAATATAGGTGTTAGTTCTTTGAATGTTTGGAAAAACTCCCCTGTTAAGCTGTCCAGACCCAGGCTTTTGTTTGGTGGGAGTTTTATGATTACTGCTTCTATTTCATAAGTTGTTATTGGCCTATTCAGGTTTTTTGATTCTTCCTGATGCAGTTTTGGAAGATTGCATTTTTCTAGGAATTTTTCTATTTCATCCACATTGTCCAGTTTGTTGGGATATAGTTGTTCATAGTATTTTCTTACAATCCTTTGTATTTCTGTGGTGTCCATGGTTATTTTTCCACTTACATTTCTGATTTTATTTATTTGTGTCCTCTCTCTTTGTTTCTTGATAAGTCTGGCTAATGGTTTATCAATTTTGTTTAGCCTTTCAAAGAATCAGCTCTTGGTTTCATTGATTTTTTTGTATTTTTTTTTTTAGTCTCTATGTCATTTATTTCTGCTCTAATCTTTATTATTCCCTTCCTTATATTTACTCTGGGCTTTTCTTGTTGTTTTTGTTCTAGTTCTTTAAGTTGTAGGGTTAAATAGTTTATTGCTGATTTTTCTTGTTTTCTTAGGTATGCCTGCAGTGCTATCAACTTCCCTCTCAGGACTGTTTTTGCTGTGTCCCAGAGATTTGGGGTTGTTGTGTGTTCATTTTCATGTGTTTCCAGGAAGTTTTTTCTGTCTTGATCTCATTGATAAGCTATTCATTGTTTAATAACATGCTATTTAGCCTCCATCTGTTTGAATGTTTTTGGGTGTTTTTACTATAGTTGATTTCTAATTTCATTCCACTGTGATCTGAGAAGATTCTTGATATGATTTCAATCTTCTTGAACTTGTAGAGACTTGTTTTGTGTCCTAACATGTGGTTTATCTTTGTGAATGATCCATGTGCACTTGAGAAGATTGTATATTCTGCTGCGTTGGGGTGAAATGTTCTATAAATGTCTATTAAATCCATCTGATCCAGTGTGTCCTTTAAAGTCTCTGTTTCCTTGTTAAGTTTTTTTCTGGAATATCTGTCCAGTGAAGTCAGAGTGGTGGTCAAGTCCCCTACTATGACTGTGTTGTTGTCAATCTCTTCATTTAAGTCCTCTAGAAGTGTTTTTATATATTTAGGTGCACCTATATTGGGTGCATATATATTTACCAGGATTATATCCTCTTGTTGGATCGATCCCTTTAGTATTATGTAGTGATCTTTGTTGTCTCTTATGATGGCCTTCATTATAAAGTCTATTTTGTTGGATATGAGTACTGCTACTCCAGCTTTTTTTTCTTTGCCATTTGCATGGAAAATTTTTTTCTGTCTCTTCACTTTCCTCCTGTGTGTGTCTTTTTGTTTTGAGGTGGGTCTCTTGTAGACAGCATATAGTTGGGTCATGTTTTTGTATCCATTCAGCTACCCTACGCCTTTTGATTAGAGCATTTAATCCATTTACATTTAGGGTTATTATTGAGAGGTACTTATGTATAGCCATTTTAAGTCTGTATGGCTCAGTTTCTCTCTCTGTTTCTTCTTCTCAGCAATCTCTTACAGCAATCCCTTTAGCATTTCTTGTAATGCTGACTTGGTGGTGATGAGCTCCTTTAGCCTTTTTTTTTGTCTGGGAAGCTCTTTATTTGACTGTCTATTTTGAATGATAACCTTGCTGGATATAGTAATATTGGTCTGAGATCCTTGCTTTCTATTACCTTGAATACTTTATGCCATTCCTTTCTGGCCTGTAGAGTTTCTGATGAGAAATCAGGTGTCAGCCTTATGGGAAC